CGTTATTCCTCACAACTTTTCACAACTTTCAGAGACCTGTGTGGAGTTTTGCACTGACGATAAAACTAACAACACTTGGCATGCTAACGTGCACTTCCTGATTATAGGACAATCAAACACTCAAATTAGACGCAGACAGAACAGAGTGGACATGTTTTGACCCCAAGAGCTGCTTATACAATACAGTGTATAAGACAGAATGAGCTCGTATACACAGTGTTGGGAAGGTTACTTTTAAAATGTATTCCCCTACAGATTACAGATTACATACCTCAAAATGTAGTTTGTAACGGAATCCATTAAGTTACTTAATGTGAGTAACGTAATCTGAATACTTTGGATTACTTGATATTGTCATGCTTTTTAAAACTACATGAATGTACCAACCACATCCTGAACATTCTTGTTTGTTCAGTCTTTTCTTGACCATATTAAAAATATTATTCATAGAGAAATAATTTCTATATGAGATCACTGCTGCTTTAAATTATGTCCACCTACTGTTAGTGTCATACTGTGTAGTTTAGTCCTGGTTTAGTCCCGGTTTAGTTCTGGTTTAGTCCTGGTTTAGTTCTGGTTTAGTCCTGGTTTAGCCCTGGCTTTAGTTCTGGTTTAGTCCTGGTTTTAGTCCTGGCTTTAGTTCTGGTTTAGTCCTGGTTTAGTTCTGGTTTTAGTACTGGCTTTAGTTCTGGTTTAGTCCTGCTTTAGCTCTGATTTAGTTCTGGTTTAGTCCTGGTTTAGTCCTGGTTTTAGTCCTGGTTTAGTTCTGGTTTAGTCCTGGTTTAGTTCTGGTTTAGTCCCTGTTTAGTTCTGGTTTAGTCCTGGTTTAGTTCTGGTTTAGTCCTGGTTTAGCCCTGGCTTTAGTTCTGGTTTAGTCCTGGTTTAGTCCTGGTTTTAGTCCTGGCTTTAGTTCTGGTTTAGTCCTGCTTTAGTTCTGCTTTAGTTCTGGTTTAGTCCTGGTTTAGTCCTGGTTTTAGTCCTGGTTTAGTTCTGGTTTAGTCCTGGTTTAGTTCTGGTTTTAGTCCTGGCTTTAGTTCTGGTTTAGTCCTGGTTTAGTTCTGGTTTAGTCCTGGTTTAGTTCTGGTTTAGTCCTGGTTTTAGTCCTGGTTTTAGTCCAGATTTTAGTCCTGGTTTAGGATATAGCCCGAAAACAGGAAAATACTGCCATGTAATCCATTTATTTCAACAAAGTAACTGTAATCCAATTACCACTCATTCAAACAGTAACTGTAACCGAATACAGTTACTTATAATTTGTACTCTGATTACGTAACTCTGGTACATGTAATCCGTTACTCCCCAACACTGCATGTTCATTTACATTTATATAATTATGTCTTACTTGACACCAGTCTCTATGTATATATTTTTACTCTTTGTTATTATATTGTGATGTGTGAACTACTGTCCCCAAATAATTTCCCTTGTGGATCAATAAAGTTTGTCTAAGTGTAAGCTTTTCATACAAAAATGTAACAAAGTGTTTTACAGTGATTAAAAACAAAGCCACAGTTCCTTCCACACTGTAAACCCAAATTAGTAATCATTACTAAAACCGCGCGTGGTAAGTGATTGCACTGGGATGTCTAGTTTTTACAATATCAAAAACTAAACAAATCAAGCTCTGTTTACATAAAATCTTCTGTCCAAGATAACCCATTACTAAAGAACTTAAATTTCTAAAACTAATGTTTACAAGTAATTAACTAACCATTACTTGTGTATTACAGTAATCATTACTTATTTTTATCAGTATGTATTTCTGATATTTATGAGTATTTATTGAATATGTTTATTAATTATAATAATTAGATGCAAATTATACGTCATATTATTTTTTTTATAATTGACATAAAATGAAAATTTTTTTCTCACAAATTTATTGCAAAAATAGTGCAATAATAACATGCTTAAACCTGAATAAAGTGCAGTCTTCTGTTTGTTCCCTGTAACAGCATTTGCTTTTGTGTTTTACATTTCACAATTTAAACAAGGGGTTATAAGGGTTGTCAGCTTGTCCATAACAATTTCACCCTCAATGACGATTTTCAGGCAGCTGGGGGAAGATCTGGTGTTGGAAGAGAGACACCTTCAGATTTACTAACAAGATCCCAATGTCCATTTGGTGAAAGGATTCATCACCATCCTAAAGAAAAACAAAAAAATGTATGCCAGAAACATAACCATTAGTGAATGAAATTACTGAACTACAACAGACTCAATAAGAATGACAAAACATAAATTGTATGAAATTAAATTTATGCTGACATGATAACTATTTGGTCAAGCATTTTCAAAATGTTCAAACAAATATTTGAAAATCAATAATAATCTGACTTTAAGATAAATAATATTCATGGAATGGCTGAAGCTCGTAATGTATAGACTACTTGTCAGTTTTGGCATATTCAAATTATACAATAAATGTCACATTCTATTACAAACAAAATGTACACTTACAAAGCTAGATTTGAAGAATTCAGTGGGATTGTCTCCGAGTAAGTAAGGAAGCCCTCTGAGTGTGACTGTCCTTTTTTCAGTAGAATCCAGTGACTGTTAGACAGAAAATGGATACTGTATGATAAGTTAAAAGAAAACGCAAAAAGAGACGCAAACACTTTTGTAAATATACATTTAACCATTAACATGAACTATGTATTTTAATAAAAATGAATTATCTTTTTATCCATTTTAGATTAACTATGTTATGAACTTATGCTTTTACAGCACATGTATTTTTATCCGGGTTACAAAAGTTTACCTGCATTTACTGCAAAAGCTGTGCCAACTGTCACCCACGTTGCCCCTCTTAGCTTTAAAACTTTCAATAAAATGGGTAGTGTGGTTATCAAGGGCAGAATAAAATTCCTGGTGCAGGTCTTTTCCCACAATCCTTTTGAATTCCAGACAAATCTAAAAAAAAAAAAAAAAAAAAAAAAAGAAAGAAATTAGTGTTCTGTAGTGTCTGAGGTAGTAACTTCTCTTATCTCAGCTGAACTCACAGTATTTATAGCTCCACAGCATGTTGGGTAGTCACCTGTAAAACAGAAAATATGTTTTAGTGTTTAATTCCAGCCAAAGTTTATATGCAATTTTGTGGTGATAATCTAAAAACTCTCCATTTGCACCCACGATTTTAGAACAATCATATAGCAAACAACGAAAACGAGTCTCGATTAAAAAAAAAGGCGCGGTGCACACGGTGTACGTGAGAAGACACGGCGCCCGTGAGTAGTTCTATGGGTCCATGCGTCGTTAAACCGCCACCCGCCCGAGTTTGATTTAAATAGTATTTTTCGTCGCGTCATCCGCCCGAGCCGCGGTTTAGCCGCGGAGTCCGCCCTCCGCGCATCTCTACCGGGCCGGTAAAGATGCCGGTAGTACCGGCTCCCACACCGTTAACTGTTAGCATTAGCTGTTCTCTGTTAGTGGCTAACAGATGATAGCGAGCACATCGTGACCACAAGTTTACTTCACGTTAGCCTTATTTGGCTGCAAGCGTCAACCAATGTCACCAACTATTCAGTCTCACGGGAACAGAAACCATATTTATTCACTTACCATGTGATGATAAAGCAGACTGACGCTGAATTGAAGCCAACAGTCCGAGCAGAAGTCAAATGTGTTTTGGTGCAGTTTGGGAGTGTTCAGGTGCCATTAGTACAGCAAATACTAGTTTAACATAGTTTACAATTCACACTTTGTTTAGTAATGGTCCCGCCTTTTGCAACATATTAAAAAGATTAGTAATATTAGCATGGCTTAATATGTAAAAGAAAATTTGGGTTTACAGTGTAGTCACCCACTCAGCCTCCACAGCTGTCCGACCCCACCAACCAACACACACACGCTAACATGCTAAAATACATAAAACTACATCAAGTAAAACGTGAGGCTATACAGACTATTGTCAAGACGGCTTCTGTGTTTAGTCTTGGTTACTTGTCAGGTTTTGAAGCACTGACACAGCCCAGTGATTATGAATATTTTAAAATTTACAAAATACTTGTGTTTGTGACAGATTAACAGTGTTGGGAAGGTTACTTTTAAAATGTATTCCCTTACAAATTACAGATTACATACACCAAAATGTAGTTTGTAACGTAATCCATTAAATTGCTTAAAATGAGTAACGTAATCTGAATACTTTGGATTACTTGATTTGCTGTAGAGAAGCAAAGACGAGGAAATCTTCACATCATGTTTTGTTTGCTAAAAGGCAATAAAAAAGACTTTACTTAACCATATTAAAACTATTACTGATAGAAGAAGAGGAGATATGGTCCACACAGCATGGTTTAGTCCTGTTAAATCCTGTTATAGACCTGGTTTAGACCTGGTTTAGTCTTGGTTTAGACCTGGTTTGGACCTGGTTTAGACCTGGTTTTAGTCCTGGTTTTAGTCCTAGTTTAGACCTAGTTTAGACCTGGTGTTGGACCTGGTTTAGACCTGGTTTAGACGTGTTTTTAGTCCTGTTTTTAGTCCTGGTTTAGCCCAAAATGTGAAAACAGGAACATACTGCTGTGTAATCCATTTATTTCAACAAAGTAACTGTAATCCAATTACCACTCACTGAAACTCTCTGATTACGTAACTCGTTACGTAATATATATTTGAATATTGAATATTCTATAGAATTTTTGGGTTTACTGTCTGTTTAATTCATAAACAAACAAAGCACAGAATTTGCATATATAATTATTCCATGGTTGCTATGGAAGCTCTATAAAGGACACGACGACTCAGTCTGGTCACTTTTCGTCGGAGGCTCGAAGAAAGTGGCAGCTCGAAGTTTTGCTCTTACAATTTGTGCATTTTTACAAATTTCTTGACGAGTTCTTCGAGGAATCGAGTTACGGTAAGTTTCTGTGCCATATTTGAAGGAATATTTGTAGTTTCTTTGCTGTTAGCTCCTATCAACTGTTGAAATCTGTATCTGAAAGTTGAAATCTTTCGTGTTTTAACGTGTCCTGCTTTCTTTTACTTGACAGATAATCATCATGACGATCAAAACGCGGCCATCGGGTCCAGCCAAACGCAGAAAGATTCGAGGTAAGACAAATTTGTGGTTTTGTTGTGTTCAAAAGTCCGACTACATCGTGACAGCTAGTTCAGTGTTTGCAAGTCGCTCAGTTTTCAGCTTGACTTCTTTGCCAAAGTTTAGTTTTATTACTTTACAATCATGAAAATATGAGTGTTTTACAAGAAAACTACAGATAATTCATAGTAGTTTGTAAAATTCAACATAAACAGAGCAAAGAGTGTATCTGAACTTGGGTGTGTGACTTTGACACACGAAAAGGACAAGTACTTGTAGTTATTTTTACGAGTCAAAACTCATCCTGTTTTAGTCCTGGTTTAGACCGGTTTTAGTCCTGTTTTAGTCCTGTTTTAATCTTGTTTTAGTCCTGTTTTTGTCCTGTTTTAGTACCGTTTTAGTCCCGTTTTAGACCTGGTTTAAGTTCTGGTTTAGATCTGGTTTAGACCGGTTTAGACCGGTTTTGTCCTGGCTTTAGTCCTGGTTTAGTCCTGGTTTAAGTTTAGACCTTGTTTAGATCTGGTTTAGACCGGTTTAGTCCTAACATAATTCTGGTTTAGAGGATTACTTCTGGTTTTGAACTATTTTTTTCACGGGGGGAATGGGAGAAATCTTTTTAATTCATGATTAGATAATATATATTTTGGCTTTACGACACTAAAACTACATTTATCTGTCCACTGGTTAATTGTAATTACTTCAGATTTCACCATCCTCAAAGAATTGCTAACAAATCCATGTTATGTTTCAGCTTGCAGGTCCTGTGCTGCCGTCAACGGCCTGGACCAGGAGAAGCACCAGTCTCCTAAATTCCTGAAGAGCAAATCCAGGAAGAGACCTGAGACCAGCTCCGCAGACTCAGACCCCGTCCCCAGGCCCAGCGGTGTCTCTCACGTGTCCCAAAGATCTCTGGGCACTGAAGGACACAGCGGCAAGAGGAAACGAGAGGAAGAGGATGAGACGGAGAAGGACAGTAAAAAGTCCAGGTCCAAAAGTCCCATAAGAGGACCGACTGAACAACCGAGTGAGTGAAATTAGAATCTTTGCTATAACCCGGCACATGATAAATGAAGTTAGACTCAGAGTCCTGCACCAGGTCGGGTACCAGCAAATAGTTGCTGAAACGGGCGAGTTTTAATGTTTTGAAATTTTATGGGTGGGTAGTGATTACACACGGGCGGGTCAGGTGAATCAAATGAACGACAAACGGGAGAAAAATACTTGTCACGTGTCCAGGACGTCCTTTGGGAACAAATGCCATTTCCGGGCTTTTCCCGGAACGATGGACCAGACTGAGAGAGACTTGAGTGTATTTATTACAAAAAAACATCAGCGGAGGTGATCGGCACGGCGGCTGCTCTCCTGGTTTAGTCCTGGTTTAGACCTGGTTTAGTCCTGGTTTAGTCCTGGTTCAGTCCTGGTCCAGTTCTGGTTTAGTCCTGGTTTAGTCTTGGTTTAGTCCAGGTTTAGACCTCGTTTAGTCCACAAATCTTGACCACAAACTATCCCAAGGCAAAGAAAGTAAATGGCTAAAACACAAGAGCCAGAGAGAGAAAGTCATGTGCTTTGCTTTTATTGAACTGCTTTGTCAAAATTTTCAAATGAACAAAATTTACAGTTGATTTTTTTGTTTTTTTTTGCAGCCCTCAACTCCAAGTACCTGACGCTGCAGCCTCTGTGCAACGGAGGCTTTGGGAGGATTTGGTCGGGTGTACGCCGTTGCGACAACTTGCCGGTAATTTTATTTATTTTTATTTTTTTAATGTTGTACAATTTCTGTTTCTTCATGGTTTTCAAATAGTGACTTTACATGTTTCCTTTTCATAGGTGGTGATCAAATACATCGACAAGGTCAAAGTCACGTTTATTGAAATGGTGAGTCAGTATTTTTTATGTATCTATTTGTGGCTGAAAAGATTGACTATTATTGTAAAAGAAAATGATTAACTTTAATAATTTTATCGTCACACAATATATTATCTCCCAATGGAACAACAAGTCTTTGCTCCTAAGATAAACTAATTCTAATGTTGCTTGAATTAAGGAAAGCGCACTTATTCTGTTGGTAGATTATTTTACATATCAAGTTGAATCTCCTCAAATAATGTTCTTAACTTAAGTCATTTTAACCTACCTAGATATTGCTTTTTACACTGTAGCACCAGCAAACTTCCAACTTGAGCGTGAAACCTGTTCTTTCTGTTATCATCACATCCCTCCTTCTATATTCTGACTATTTCTGATATAATGAAGTTTGCTGATGTGTATGTTTGACTTCCAGGAGGGGGATGGGATCTCCACACGTCTCCCAGAGGAGGTGTATTTTTTGAGGAGAGTGGGAGCCGGCCCTGACGACGATGACTCCAGTGTGACGCCTCAGGTCTTGGACTGGTACGACCTGGGGCCTGAGGTAGCACTGGTCCTAGAGAAACCGTCACCATGCATGGATCTGTTCGATTACCTCCAAGACAGTCTTCCAGCTGGTGTCCCGGTCTCAGAGACAAAGGTAAGTGGTGAATTATGGTGTTTCTGTCGCTGTGGTAACAACAAATAGGAGGTTTAAATTAGAGCGTGGATCGAGATGAATTTTTGTGTCCGATCCCGGCCCGCGTCCAACAGAGCAGTGATCGAATCCGACCCAAACGTGATACGCATTAAGATATTTGTGACCTGACACAATTAAAATCACACGATTTTCACTGGCCTCATGACACATGTAGGATATTGTTTGTGTTCCTCTAACCAGAGACACAAAATACAAACTCAGGATATAGAGAAAATAATGATGGTGAATGGTAAATTTAAAGTGCATCATCTCATCCACATTATCCATAGAAATTGTCGTCCACAAATAATGACAACCAGTCCACAAAACCGTTCTATTAGTCCAGTTTGAATTGTTTAAAGTAAAAAGGCGAGTAGTTCCACGTGTGTCTGTTTACATTCACACAGCGCACGGATCGAGGTGAAGCTGCAGATTAGTGATCGTAACTCTACTTCCTGTATACTTTAACGCCAATCTTTATGCTTTAAAAATCATGTTTCTGAAGTATTTCACAAATAATAATAACACAGTTTTGACTTGTATCTAAACAAGAAGTGCAGAGCTCTGATCTTTTGAACACATAAGAGTCTCAACCCCTTTTGTCCGAAACCGTCGGAACCCGTCCCGTTGGACTTTGGAGTTTCCATGCTCTAGTCTAAATATATTTAGATTTATTTATTCAATATTACGCCATTTTGAGATGTTTGAAATGCCATATTTCAGTGATATGGTTACATCTATAGAACTGCTAACAAAAAAAAGCAAAAACAAAGAAGAAATCAGCTGTGAAGTGAAGACCCAAAAGTGTCACCATCACCTGACAACTCTATACAATCATTCAATTCAATTAGTTTACACATCTCCCTGTGTTTAAGGAGAACACAGTGCAGTTTGAATAGACACTTGTAGAGCTGACGCCATGTGAGAATAACTGATACTGAAACACTCAGGCCCGTTCATTTTAATGAGACAGCGCAAACAAAGGAGTTACATATTGGTCATGTATTCCATCAAGTACAAAGAGTCAATATTGAATGTTCAGCTCCAATGAAGTGCAGACTTTTACGTAGAATTTGTGGTGCTTGATGAAACAAACCTTTCCCTAGTTCAACCGTTGTGGCTTCTGTATCTTTGGTTTGAAATGTCCAATGAACCATGAGATTCAAGAGATACTACTACTTTTGACACTATTATTTTGCGTTCTATTACAAAGAAAAATGCTTTTATTATCTTCAGTGTGGTATCAAGTGTTGTGTAAATTGCTGAAGTAAAATTTGAGGATTTTTTAGGATTGAGAATGTTAGTGGATAGTCACCAAAACAGGCCTGGTTTTTCAGTTTGCAATGTTTTGTACCAACACTCCCACTGACGAAAGCTTGTATGAAATGGTACCAGCCTTTAAAATGTGTTCCTTTTTGTTGCTGTAATATTTTTGTTTTTCTTGTTGTAGATCATTTTCCGTCATTTGGTGGATGCCGCCATCGAAATGGAGGCTAAAGGAGTGTTCCACCGGGACATTAAACCCGAGAACATCCTGATCGAGACCGGAGGAGAAATGCCCAGAGCCCGGTACATCGACTTCGGCTGGGCGATCAACTTCACTCCTGGGCAGACGTTTGATGAACAGTATGGTAAATATTGAACCTTTTGACAATATGACTCCCTCACACCCTATAATTTTATTTTTTGTTTTCTATACAAAATCCTTCTTTAAACTTCTTATGGACGTAACTCAGTAATGGTCAAATTTATGCAGCACTTTTCTATCTTTAAGGCGTTCAAAAGCACTTTACATCAAGGAACCACCCATACACACACATTCACACACCAGGGTACGCAAATACTGGGGACGCGGTGGGTCAAGTGTCTTGCCCAAGGACACAACAGCAGTATTCAACGAGGTTTATGTTGAGAGCAGGATTCGAACCACCAACCATCCAAACCGATGCTGAAGTTGGTGGTTTGATTCCAGTTTATACAAATGCAAACTGCTGCCGTGTCTGTAGGCATTAAAATATGTCCAGTGTCCAAATGAATTAGAAAAGTACTATTTCCCAAAATTCTGTTTGGTGAGAATTTCTAACGTACAAATTGGAACTTTCAATACCGAGGCGTTTCTTTGTTGTGTTGATACCTTGGTTGAAATGGCACTCTTTAATTGGATCCTTCAAACATACACACAGAATCCAATATATTCTGTGTTGATTCACCAGTGGAACAAAAAAAAAAAAGTATTCTTTACACCAGTCACAGTGGCAGTACTCTGCAAAGCTTTCACTCACTAACTTGACGGTCAGTGATTCAATACCCACTCTGTATACCAGTAAATATGTCTTTTGTATCCTTGGGAAAGACACGTGACTCCTGATGTAAACTATTTGGAAGTAAAGATAATCTATATTTTGCAATCCATTAGTTTCAAACCATAAAAGTTCCATCACGATCACTATTTTCCATTATTTACTGTTTACACTGTGGTTTTCAGTTGGACCCATAAACTGTACTGTGACGACCAGTGCGTAAAGAATTTGAGTTTGCTCATATTTCGGGTTTATTTAAACTACTAGACAATGAACAGCACAGGGTTTATGTCTTGAACGCCTCCGAACAATCAGCCCAAAAGACCTCGCAGGTACACAAAAAAAATACACTTCCCATCAAGCCTTGCTGCCAAGTTTTTAGATCGCTACAAGTGGATATAGCGTGTCTGCAAGCTGCTGCCTTCCAAATTCTGATCTTAAAATATTCGTTTTAACCCGGGCTTTATTTCACTGTTTTGTGTGTAAATAAAGATTTTAACAATAATAACAGACCAATCAGGCGCTCGCATTCCCAAGGTCACTCCTATTAACATTAGTAACAGGTTTTTAACAGATTTCACGGCTCGTTAATAATGCGGGAAGAGGTGTGTACCTTCAACAGCCTTGCTTCTGATTGGCTCTTTGGTTGCTATTATACACACCATCAGATTTCCAAATATGGATCTAATTATCATCTATATCCGCCTACATCGATTAGCTTCATTTGCCTGGTTGACCTCACTCTCCCTCAGTGCACTTCTTCACACAGTCGAGAACTGGACCTTGCCTTATGTTTGTTGATTTGTTTGTGTTCTAGGGACTCCACAGTACTTGGCTCCAGAGTGGTACCGAGACCGCCGGTACACGTCCGCCTCCGTTACGGCCTGGCAGCTGGGAGTGGTGCTCTTCATGATGCTGTTCAACATGCACCTTAACATCAACGAGGACACCATAGCATCCATGAGAGAAGTTCCATTCCCCAAACCTTTGCCAGAAGGTAAGAACCAGATTGCGAGAATTTTAGCATTATCATTAGGGTTAAGAAAATGGGAACAGAATTTTTATTGTGGTAATGAGTAAATATCAAAGGCTGCAATTATGTTCAGAATATAATATAAGCAAAACAAAGAAATATCCAAACAAAAAAAAAAAACAAAAAAACAGTAGCTAATCCTTTGGTTTAGAGCTCTACAAACATGTTCTGGAATTCATGGGATTTTTGTCTGAGTTCAGTAGTTCATATTTAAAATCTCAAATGTTATTGCTATGGGATGTATTTAAATTAGAAAATAATTTAGTTTTTTTGTTTTTTTAAGATTTTTTTTTATTTATTTAAGAGCACAAATGACAACATCTTCTAACTTTATTTTGTGTGTGCGCAGAATGCCGAGACCTACTGAGAGGCTGCCTGGCGCTGAACCCAAAGAAGCGCCTCTCGCTGCAGGAGATGAGGGACCATCCGTGGTTAAAGCCAAACTGACCCCGACTCCATCTCCTCTTCAAACGTTCACTGCAACCAAAATAAATTAATTAATTAATTTAAAAAATCTGGATGTGATTTTTGAACCAAGCTGAAGCTGTCCGGGGTAAACAGGTGAGTCAAGTCTTCAGTATCTACATCGTCTTCATTTTTTGGCCCTTTCCCAAAATCTAGCAACGTCTAAGAAGTTCTACTCTAATGGTTCTACATGCTTTCATAGATATTTATAGCTTTATATATTCGCTAGCCTTTCCCCGATTACTATTTTTGGTTTTACACAACTGAAGAAATACTAAAATTTGACGTCAAAATGCTAACTGCTAATTGATCATTTGCGACTCACGTGCATAGAGGTCACGAAAGTTGTTTTTAGGTTTGTATTAGAAGTCTATTGTAAAAACGCTATTTTGCCAACTCAAGAATATTGTTTTAGGTAAATTAATTCTTTTACCTAATTATCGGAGGACTGCACAAAAGCTATGGTTGATTTCAAACTGAACCAAGTTAAGAAGAGTAGAAGTAGCAAGTAGAAAGGGTCTTATGTCAATTCCAACTCCCTGTGACGAAATAGGAATTCACGTTACCACCGTTTTGGCCTGTTACTTGAGCCAAAAGTTCAGGTGATCTGCGTTCAGTCTCTGTATGGGTCTTTGGTTGTGTCCAGTGCACAATTTACTGTGAAAGTCGACACAGTGAAGGGTGCACTGGTTAAGAAAACCAAAAGGGCCACATTAAGTATGAATGGTTCAATTACAGGTTAAGTTTGTACTTTTTCACTAAACCCACCATGTTACCAAAAAAATTGCATTTTTTACAATGGAAATGAATTGAAATGAATTTGCAGGCTATTGTGAAAAAAAGAAAGAGAATCTGTTGAAATTCGAGCCAGTTTTAGTTTCATTTATAGACAGACCAGCAGTTACAGAGAAAATCATAAGCCAGGTGAAGATAAATGCAAAAACAGCAGATTCTGTGATTCTACAGGGATTCTACGATGTTCTGTCTCGTGATCTGTTTTAAGCTCTAGGTCACATAACAGAACATTTTAGAATCCCTATAGACCTGTCGTCACGGAAACAGAATGGTGACACGTTAAAGCAGTTTTAATGTTCCGTGACTTTGAAGGGCGTAGATTGTGTAGGGCTGAGTGATCTGAGTTTGAGACTTCAACCCTCAGACTTCAGGTGAGTTCCAAGTTTGTGCGAAATGCAGTAGTTTTGCTGTGGCTAGTTGTTAGCATTACTGTACCAGAGATATCACCTAAAAACATCGGAAAAAACAACAGACGAGCAACAAGTGCATTTTAGTTTTATTTACATTACTTCTAAATAGTTTTAGTGTTTCATTTTAAATCGTGTAAAAGTGTTACTGTAACTTAGATCGTAGTAAAATTGAAGCGCGTAGTCTTAGTATTGAATTCATATCGGTATCAAGGATCCACCCCCCATTGGATTGAACTGGGCAGCCTCTGGTTTGATGGCAGCTTCAGCTAGTGCCCGAAGACTACCCATTGGTGTGAGGACATTGAGTGACTTTCTGCAGATTGCAACGGTGGGCTCTCCTCGCTCAACACGAACGGTGCTGCAAAGAGGATGCATGAGACAACATATCAGGAATTCATCATCATGTG